AAAAAAAAAAGAGAGAGAAAAGGTCAAAAATGTTCTTAAAAACACACATTTCATCTATGGATTGTAGATATACGATTCTCTGCATCTGTCTTCTCTAATATATTCTTATTTTGTTATTTCATATGCAGATTTTTGTTTGTATTACAAAATCAGTGATTAAAAATGTTGTCAATCTTTTTTTTGCTACTATATAGGGAGTGGAGCAACAGCTGTGGTCCAGGCAGCATATTGCAAACCCAGGAAAGAGAAGGTGGCCATTAAACGCATCAATCTTGAGAAATGCCAGACCAGCATGGATGAGCTTCTGGTAATGTCTGTTTACTGCTCATAAAATTAGACGCACCACATAAAGGTATTTGATTAAGATGTCTCTGCTTAAACAGGTTATTTATGGATGCTAGTTTACATTTCTGGCTCTCTTTAGAAGCGTAACGTGTTTTCTAATTAATGATTCTGCTGCCTATATTGTTTTATTATAATTAAATGTGCATCGGACTCGAATTAATCTTTCCCGCAACTTTTTCTGCAGTTACAGCAAGTGAGATTAAATATATATTTCAAATTATAAATCTGTGCATTATGCAAATGTTCTTTAAACAAAAACAGATTCGTTTAATCCTTTGGTAATTTAATAAAATAATTTAAGTTATTCTGCAAACATGCAAGAAAACTAAATCTACCAATACAATTTCATTGTCTGTAGGCACAAATAATGACTATCTGACAATATTTCAGTTTCATTAGAACTTATGCAATGTACATCTGACACCGGGTCTGTCCCATTCACCTCAGTTAAGGACCTTTTTGCCAAATGGCAGGGTCATGATGTAACTCGGGTCATGTGCAAGGCAGCCACATGTCTGTCAATCAGAGGAGGATTAAACTTGCACAGACACAAGGAAAGGCTTTCTGGTCTGTGATTAAACTGTCAGAGTTAGAATGGCCTATGAGACCAAACTAGCTAACTACACTTGCATTTATACAGAAAATGTGTCTTTTTATGATGTAGAATAGGTTTAATTCAATTAATTTCGTTTGATGTAAATTTGTATTTAAAGATTTCTATTCACTGCATGTCTAGGGTCTTTTCTTTTTCAGTTCTGTAGCATAAAACTCATGAATGGCAGCATCTTAAAGTAATTCGACCCAGAAGGATGTGGTTAAGCACTCATAGCGATCTGAATGGGATCTTTTGTTTGCAATTACTTACCATTATTACCTTTTAGAAACCTCTGTTATATTTAAACATTTACTGCTTCCTAACATTTTCTTTCCTCTTTTTTTTTAATTTTTTTAGAAAGAGATCCAGGCAATGAGCCAGTGCCATC